TGAAACTAATAATCCAGTTCATTCCATAGTAGCTCTGTATGAAGTTATTTTGTGTCGGTGGTAATCATAGGGCAACACAAGGGTACACAATTACAAGGTCAAAGTTTCAATGACCACTGTCACCTTCATCTGCATATTGATTGGTCATTTCTAATCCTGATAAAGGCAACAGTGGTCATTGAAAATTTGACCCTAATAATACCCTTGTGTTGGAATAAAGCTCAGCATTGTACTATTGACTTTATGAAAGCAGTAAAAATGACTAGGACAGATCAGACTAGAAATAAAATGAGGTTGGAAAAACAACACTTGACTGACAACACCAACAGTGGTCAGAAGTACTCACCCTTTCTTTACTCTTTGCAACAGTGACTTCACTGTTTCCTCTGCACTGGAGAAACCACAGCTTTCTGCATACTCTTTAGACATAAACAGCTGTGTAGAAAAAAAAACATGAACCAGAAGTCATTCCTGTGCTATGGCAACAGTTGTATATATGTGTGGGAAGTTATATCATTCACCTTCTTGTGGGACTCGACAGATAACAGGTTGAAGTGAGAATTACTTTGCTGGTCAACTTTGAGGAAATGATTTTAGACAGACCAATGATTTATTTGGAGTAAAACCAAACCACCACAGTATGTACTGAGGGCCTGCATGCCCTTTTTTGTAAGGCATAATCAGGCCTTTTTAGTCTTGATCTAGACCTGAACCTAAATGTGGGCTTAGGTACACAGCACTGCTCTGTACACAGCTTGTTTTACTACAAAACCTGTAAGTAACATAATATGATTGTATGGAGGTCTGACTAGTATGTATTATGTGATTCAGATTGCACATAATCATAAATATTATTCATTTGACCATGTGATGTACTCACCACATCTACTTTGGGAATGAGGTATCCCATGTTGTACTTTGGTTTCTCACACTCAGTTGACAGAGTGATGGCATCATCAGGGGTTACTACATTCCTGTTGAACTCCTCAACAATCTCCATCATCTTGCAAACTTCTGCAGTGTTCCTGCCCTTAGGACACAGGAAGAGAGGGAGGTAAGAATGACACTATTTTAAAATACACGTACAGTGTATTGTTGGCCTTTTCAATGACTTTCAAAAATACACAATAAAATTTAACAGAGCTATGGTGACTTTGTTAGTCACTACTTAGTACATAAATGTATGTGATGAAACAATTATGTCATAATCACACTTAGAATAATCAAATCTGAGCTGCTCTTTAGTGCCGCATTATGATGAAAGGTTTAAATGCATATTTCACTGACAAGAAGCTGATATGTACTATATCAAATAGCATATTCTATTTTACCTCAAAGTGAATCCATTTATACTGATTAAGGTCCAGGTTGCTGAAATCTGCTGCTGTCAATTCTGCCATGTTTCTGGAGGTGAACAGCAGCAGGTACAGCAATGTGTTGATCAACTATATCTCAGTCGACAGAATTATCATAATTGTAATTATCCTCTATGCAGGCCATTTCTGAGAGAGAAAAGCATACTTACAAGTACAATTTTTATAATGTCATCAAACAGATTGAATTGTTTAAAATTTTGAGCTCACATCATTGCCTTACATGATTTCTAATTTGCAAGAAGGCAACAATTTGAAGCTCTAATCCTACCTGCCACCATGAACTATTGTCCTGGAGCCATTCTGTGTGTTAATGATAACACAGGAGGTTGGTATGGGGCAGTCAGAGTACACCACATGTTCTGTTAGTACACCAAAGTCCTGCAGCTCCTGTAGGGCACATCTAAAGGGGACAGAGTCACAATAAAGTAGCACAATTACAAATTAACAGACACTTGTTCATATA